GACTGTTTACCAAGTGGCTTCACATTTGTCACAGAAATGCTTGGAATAGTAATTCCTTCTGTGATATTGCTTGCCCTTTTCTATTTATTCTACTTGGGGGGTTCCTGGTATTTCTGAGATACTAAAAAAGTCTTTCTTCCTTGATAAGGGATTCTCTTACTGGATGAAATGAGATGAAGCAGGCACAGAGTTAACAAAGGCTGTCAGATCTTTCTGGCTGAGCATAAGCTGAGCCTGAGATCTCAGCCTAGGGCAACCCTGCTTCTTGGACTGAAAAGTCCTCTGCACTCAAGTTGCCGCAAATGGCTGGTTCTGGAGTTGCTGCAAAGGGATGGTTAGGGGAGATTTACAGAGCTTGGCTACATACTTAACACGCAGTTTTTCTTGCAGGATTTTGCTGGGAAAATCTTTCAGCATACCCTTACCTCTGAATACAAGCTTATGGGAATACTACTTTATCAGTACAATTCTATTTTACATGATTTTTTTTAGTGTGTGAGTTGTAAATTGCTAAGAACCTTGAAGGACATAATGTCACCTCAGCATCAGCATCATGTGGCACTATGCCAAAAGTTTCTGGACAGTTGCCTAGAGTAGACTTTATCATCATAAAGAAAACATCAAAAAATTCAGCAGGCAAACTAGAAATTCTAATGAAAGAGCACAATACCAATGACTAATTTGCTGGATAATAAGTTCTTCAAGTTAAAAAATAGAATCTAGATATCATTAGTAACAATAAATATCATTACTGAACAATTGTGTTTTAAGTGCCATGCTTGGATCTCTATATACAAAATATTTTCAATCCTTATTACATTTTCCTGCAACATGACTTTTTTATTCCAAGGGATTCAGCAAATGAGATCACACAGAGATAGTAAATTCAGATTTGGGATTGTCTGGCTTATAAATCCTTTCCAAAGTGCTTCCCAATAATTAATGATTAACAGGAACAAAGTCATAGAAGATTGGTACTCAAGGAGACGTGAGGATTCACCTAGAGAAAACCAGTTGTCTTAGAAACAGTGAAGCTGAGGCCCAGAAGGGTCCACTGATCATGAAGTCTAACACAGAGTGGCAGAGCAGACATTCTACCCCGATGGAGGTGTCATCAAGCCCCACCAGGATCTCTGTAACCCAGCCTCACCTGCCTCTCCAGGGTCCTTTCTTCATGAACAATCTCCTGGGCAGAGAGAACTATGTGCAGTTCCACATAGGCACGAAGGTAATACCTGTTCTTTGGTAATTTTTATTTCTGCTAAAAAATTTTTACCTTCTTTTGTCCATGTAATAAACATATACAAAAACTTTTAAAGATTCAGTCCAATTCAGCCAAAGTCTAATCACCCCTATGAAACCCTCACTGATTTATTTCCCTTCTCTTCAAAAATAATGAATCAAGGAATTAGTTAATAGCCAATATTTATTGTGAACTTATTACTCATTCATGTATCTAACAAATATTTTTTGAGCCTCTACTGTGCTAAAGCTTTACCAACATTGTGTTAATCATTCATCACCATAACCTTCTGAGGTAGGTATTATTTCTATTCTTATTTTATAAAACAGAGAATCTTAAAAGATTAAGAAGATGCAATGTATTTCCTTTAAAAAAAGTATCTTGCTTTTTGTTCTTCTGTGGTCCCTCTGTAGCCCGAGTATAAATTTACTGTGGCATGGGCAGCATTTTCTCATTTTCTAAAACTTTGTTTCTTTTTAAATTGTGATTTAGGATGATATAACTCTGTATGTATCATGATATACTAGCTAAGTATGCCATTGTAGGCTGTGAGCTCCATACAGGTAAGGGTGGTATCAACCCTGTTTACTGTTATATCCACAGGGTCTCGCAGAGTGGTATTGTAGGCACTCAGTCTATGATAAGTGAGTAAACAAATAAACTATGAATGAATGAAGAACAAATTCACAGAACTCTGGTTGCCACCGTTTTGTGCTGCCTCCCTAGATTATTCTGCACTGGGGAGAGGGGATGCCACATAAGCAACTCTGGGCTTGCTTCTTCTAAAGATTGACACCCATATCCTAGATCTACAGTCTGGAACTCACTTCTGGACACTATAATTTTTCACTTTCTTACCTACTATAATGGTTATATTAATTCTAGAGACCCATATGAAATGAGAACTTATTTGAGAAGGAATAGAAGCTGATTTTTAGACTTGCTGAGGAACAACATAATGACAGAGTCCTGTTAGTACACAGTACCCCAAATAACAGGAGTTTGAAAAACAGCCTTGGGATGAACTCAAATCATTACCACAGCTCTCTATTATAGCAACTGGAAATCACACTGCTGATTTCCATGTAATACAGCAAATATCTCTGAGGGCAAGATCCCAGCTCCCAGACACTTAACAACTCTCAGGCATGTTTTGCACCACATGTGGGTTCCTGTGCTATTCTAAAACAGGCACCATTCTTTTTTCTGTTTTATCAAAGATTTGAATGTTTAGTATAATCAGCCTCCATTTTTGGTCTTATAATATTTCATAGGATGTACCCAGTTAATTTAAGAGGTAAAATATAGTATCACATAATTCTCAAAACAGAGTTAGTTTTAATGGACACATACATGCACATAGACACACATACACACGCTTATTTTTGTGATAGTATATGTAGGTGTATAGTACTTACACACTTCTGTGTAATTAAAATATTAGATCTGTGCTATAGATCCATATGCAAATAGATTTAGAAATACACATACGCCAATATTTTTAAGCACCTACTAGAAGTAAAGGAAATATACTTTATATGAAAAAATATGTTGTATAGAGAGAATGAAGCATTCTTTGGAAAAATAAATTATTATTTTTCAGGTACAAAAATAGGAATAATACAGAACTTTAATTTTTATATATGTGCATATGCATGTATGAATTATATATATGCTTATACACACAAAATATGTGTATATGTATAAGTAGTTAGGTACTATGGAGAGATTTGAATACATATATTAAAATCTGTGTGCAGATTATATATAGACACTTTAAAATTATTCAACATAATATATTTGAAAGGGAACAGGCATGGAGCAAAGAGAGAGATTGATCAGTTTAGCATAGCACTTTTATAGAACTGAGAAGGTAAAGGTTGGAAAGGTCTGGCATTGAAAATCCTAAGATACATAGTGTTTGAAGATCACTATTATTCCCAGCCAATGATGAAGTATATGTGAATGAGAGAGAAAATGTATAGAAATGGATATGCAAAGGATAAGGCGAGATAGTAGTTGCCTTAATTGATTGCCTTTTCATATGTCACTAGTTTTCAAATTATCAGCACAGAGTTTATGTCAATCTTTTAAAGCATTAAATACCTGTAAATTTCAGGCAAATAGGAGGCTGACTTTGTTAAAAACCAAGGAAGTGAAAAGTTTCCCTCAGTTGATGAAAAATGTACAAAGATTTTTAGAGTATGACTATAATAATGTAGTATTAGAGATTTTGATTTGGGAAATTCTCATTTATGAAATGAAAAGTTGTATTACATCTTAGAAAAACATAACTGCAACAATAAAACAAAGCTGCTTTCTCTACTTTGTGAAGTAAACATAAGCTAAATGCTAATAAGTATGCTTGTCTTTCTAGCCAATCTGAGCTTTGAGAATTTAATATAATCAATACAGACTTATAGGTCGAAGGCATTTAAATGGATGTGTTTGTAAAGAGTATATAGAGTCTTTGCAATTGTCAAGACTGTTTATTCAGTTTAGAATCCATGTTATCTTTTAAAATAACTATATTTCTAAATACCAGTCTTCACGTCAAGCTGAACAAGTTTAATATTAAAGTGATAATATATTCCTGATTTGAATCAAGATGTTGAGATATTGTCTCCCTAAGCAAAGTCTATAATTTTATCTCAATACATCAAAAGTCATATATGTGGCCAATATATGCAATTATATTATTAAGAGTTAGTAATATATGGCATTCTTGGAAGTGCTTTTGAAAAACTTTTATTAAAATTAAAATGTTATCTATACTTGTCATCATAACATTTTATTCTTGATCAATATCTACTTCTCAATTATGCCAAAATCATATTGAAATTGAAATTTTTTTCTGCAAGCACAGCACAGCGTTTTCTTTTCAATGCATATTTAAGAGCAGTTGTTCTGTATTTATGACAGTGATTGCAGGTGCATTTTATGTATATACTTACAGCATTTACAGGAAGTCATTTTCTATCCTTTGAATAGAGGCAGAAAAAAATGAGCCAATTTCATTTCTGATCAAATGCTAGTAGTTTGGGGGCTATAATAAACCAGGAATCAAATGAAAGAAAACTGCACATCTGCTTCAGAAATGCATTATAGAAGAGAGTTTTATTTTTTAATATAAATAACCTATAGTCTCTCTATGAATACATGAAATGTTTCATTATCTTATTCCAAATGTAATAATCCTCTATCTTGCTCTCAATTAGTCATTTTTTGTAAAATTGATTATTTAGCATATAAGTAAATTTTCTTCTTCATAATTGAAAAGACATATGGTATTATAAGAGTAAAATTAGAATAACATACTTCAAATCACGATTTTCTATAGATGAAAAAATAAATGTTCTTTTACCTTTAAAGAAATGGAAGTCTGATTAAAATTCATTTTCTCTCTATTTCTAAATAATAAAATAGGCTAGACAAAATGCAAATGTTAAATACAATTAGAAGTATTGCTAAAAGACTAGGGCGCAGAATAATAAAATCTGAGAACTAGAAAAGTTGAACTTAGTGAAAAGTTACTGAAAGAGACTGAACACAACATCCCTAGACTTTCACAGGCCACCCAGAGGTGTGAACCCACAAACGTGTGAAAATGACAGGTTTTCTTGGTCTTACATTTTGAAAACAGGCGTACTCAGTCAGCAAAGAAGACTCAGCAAAGTTTCCCAAGCAGTCTAACCTTACACAACTTGTTCTCACTTTCTTCAGATACTCAAGGGAAAGTCATAAGGAAACGGCTCACCTGTGCAGGGCTGAACCACCCATGTGGGCAGGTACACTGCTCCCCACATGTTCCTTTGCCCTTGGTGCTCGTCTTGTGGGGGCTTTTCCGCACACTGTCCCATAAGGTGACCAGCTTGGTTCTGTTTGAAGCCGCGCCCCCAGGTCCTGAGGAAGGCATGGTCTGAGAACTGTACCCGAGCCCCTGAGGGCTCCTCTGCCAGCCACAAGCGCAGTGGGCATCCCTGATCAGTGTGGGCGCACTCCTGCCGGCATCCATCCCATCGGACCCCCGGCTGCAGCTCTGTTGCTTGGTGAGGTATGCATTCATACTGCACTGATGTCTACTCTTTTCTTTGGTCAGCTCTGCACAGAGATGTCTCCTCCCTCACACCCCTTTCTTCCAGGCAGTTGTAAAAGTCTTTTCCCCCCCGTGGATCCCTCAGTATCTTTGACAGCTGCTATAAGCAGTGCATCGTGGGAGCAGTGGGAGCAGAGAGAGCAGCTCCGCACAGCATTATCTGCGGGCTGGTAGCTCTTTGTCAATAGATGACTCAACTCACAGAGCAACTTGACAGTATCCCTGCTCTAGGCAGAAGCAATCAATGCTCCACACAGCTGGGCTACAAGACTGTACACTGTGTTACAAACCCTTTTTGGATGGAGCCCCAGAGTAAAGAATACTCTTTGCATTTTGGCATTCTGGCTTTTTCCTTTCCTTGCTGATCCCCACACAAAACACAAACCTCAGGAAAGAGAACTTCTTGTCTGACTAGCAGGACCCTTCTTTTCAGAAAGGATGCGAGTAAGCTGAAACACTATAGCATAAGCTATTAAAAATGATGAGAAAGTTAACCGGTAAAGGAATTTTCAACATTTACAGGAATCACTTATCTGAAGAGATATTTGCCAAGACACAGATCCAATCATGAGGTAAATATATAAGACCATCAATATTAACTCTAATTTATTTTGAAAAACCATTGATGTCACAACATTATACCAGAGTCCTTTAAAAATTTGGAAGTCTAATTTGTTTTAAATCATGGTTATATATTATAATCCAAACATATATTCTTTATGTTATGAACAATTATTAATTTTTTCTTTTTCAAAATAAGGCAGTTTTCTTGGTTCAAAACTGATGGGTTGGTTCATTTTAAAACAGTATTTTTCCTTACCCCCAAATTATTCTAAGGATTTCCTTTCAAATACTTTACCACAACAAATATATTCATCACAGAGAGTCTGCATTTTAAAGTGAAAGACACTTCCAACTCTGCTATATAGCATTTTGGTTTCCAAAGACAGACTTTTCAAATTCTTTCACTTAAAAATAAGCAAAATCTATCCAATTTCAAGCAATTACCTTCCAAAAAGGACACGATTGTTTTAAATTTTAGCATACTTGCTGAATCCATACATAGTATTTTCAATAAAAGGAAAGGCTAATTACCATAACACCTAGAACTTTTATTCTGTTTGAAATTTTCTATATCTATTGCCAAAATGTTTATCCTAATCACAATTTCTGAGGAGATATTTTTGGTTTGATTGTGAAGTAAGTCATCTATGCAGGTCCAAACAAAAATGATATAATCCCATGATATAACTATTTTACCTGTAGTCCATCAGGTGCAATCAGATCTACCATCTCAGTGGATTGACCAGGTGCTGGGGTAGCACAGACCTTGTTTTTTCCAGAGTTGGCAAAGTGCTTGTGACAAGGTTCAAGATCATAACAAGTTCTACATCTGAATGCTAGGACTCTCTAGATAAGTAGTTGTTAGATTTAAAAATCCTGAAAGGAAGAATCAGGATCTTATTTTTTCATAGATCTCCAAAAAAGAGTCCTTTTTTTCAAATTCTGCATAAGGAGCTGATCTAAGCACTGTGCCTGTCACAAAATACATTCACAACACCTATCTTTACTAATAATGACCCATGTATGTAAGTTTAAAGGGCAGGCCCTGGTCTATGTTATTGACCATTTCCCACCAAGTACCTAGCACACTGCTCAGCACATAGCCACATAGCAGGACACAGATACATTCATTTTTGTTTGTTTGTTTTGAGTGGGTGAATGGATGATTGGGTGAATGTAGAAATGGAAGAAAAAAAGGAGAGGAATGAAGTAGTTGCTTAACATTTTTGAAGATAATACTTAATTCAGCAATGCTCCAGAAACATAAACTATTCTTTTAAGGTTAACTTCAGTTTTGGTTTTGAAGTATTCTTGTTAAGAAAATTTGCCAAGAAAATATAAAGTCTTGAACTATTGGGCAGGAAAAAAACAAAGGCATCAATGGTCTTTCCTTCTGAAAGAGAATCAAGGAGTCAAAATCATTACCTAAGTACAGCAACATTGAGGCAAACAGATCACCATATAGTACTCAGTGGGAAAAAGGCAGAAAATCATCTCTCTCCCTTTCATTCTCTCTCTCCTCTCTCTCTCTTTTGGTCTTTCTCTTTCAGTCTCTCTTTCAGTCTCTCTTTCAGTCTTTCTCTCTCTTTTTCTCTCTCTCTCTTCTCTCCTTTTTAATTTAGATCAAAAGATTATGCCTGAAAGAACTTTTGGGTCAAATAAAACCCTAGAGAACATCAGGCCTATCTGGTGTCACCATGATGCATGGCTGTGTGGTGGGGCTTGATGTGATGTGGCAATGCCATCACTCCCAAATGAGAATGTCAGAAAGTGATAAGTTTGCCTCTCTTCAGTCTAATCTAACCATAGATGCTTCTCTAGGTTTTTAAGCAGATATCATTTCTCAAAGGCCCATTGGCATCATCAGGGAACACATGTCCTGTTCTCACCAATTTCCTTTCAAGTATAAGAATCAGTCTGCATAGATGTAAGTCAGTGTGCATCCATCACAATTTTGTAATGGGGTATGCAGCTTTTAGCAAGATACAAACAATTTTCTGTCTGGGCACTACCTAAGATATTATAAATCTTTGCTGGGAACCAGCAAGGTTATGAATGGGTTGTTTGAAATGAGCTATTTCTTCCCATCACAAGGGTCACAGTATTTGTGTTTTAATAACCTCGGCAAGTCATTTCTTTGTAGATAAACAATTAGCAATTATTTAACATTGCATACCTAAGGTTATTTTCCTTCAAAGATGTCTAAGACTATAGCACACTTTCATTAAGCTTACTGCAAGGCTATATTGAAATTAGTCTTTCACTTTAGTATATGCGAAGTAATTCCAAACTCTTGCCTTCCTCTCCCTTACAGAAAGATTTTTCTTTTCAAACATGACATTTGACTTTCTAATTCTGAGGACAGCCCACTTTAACAGATAAATATGTCCAACTAGCCCTCTGTACTATGAGACAGACTCGCTAATTAATGATAATTCAATTTGATCAACTGTAATTGTACAATTGTAATGACCATAAGATGACATGAAATTCTGGCCAAACAAGAATTAGTGATGCACAAGTACACATCCCACTTATCACTGTGATTTAATATGGGCAGATGGTGCATAGGGCAATGCCTACATGCGATATGCCTTATTGAACTCTCTTTGACCTGGCATTGACTTCATGGAACAACCATTAGTTTTAAAGCAAGGGTTTAAAACTATTATCCTGGCTTGATTTGTTTAATAAAAAGTAAATAGCAAAGATGAATAACTAAATAAATTGTACTGCACCAAAACACCATGCAGATTTTTTTCCAGATAAAATCTCCTTCAGGCACTCTATGCATATGGGAAATGAAAATATTAATTACAAAAGAAGAGTTAAGTGCTTACTAGAGGATGACTGGGTAGCAGAAGCTCTTTAGCAGCCACAAGTAATATGTCAAATAATCATAAAACACTATAATGTATTAGATACAATTTCCTCTGATTTGAAAAGTGTCTGTTTCTGTGATGGAAAAAATTACAGATTTTATAAATGCTAACAAATCAATATCTTCTACATCTAATCATCTTTGGCTTAAACAACAATCTCCAGATCCAAGTACATCTATCTTTCTCTTTCTCTTTTTTTTTTTTTTTTGAGTTTGATTCTCACTCTGTCGCCCAGACTGGAGTGCAGAGGCCGCTCCCAGCCACCACAGTCTCTACCTGCTGGGCTCCAGCAATCCTTCCACCTCAGCCTTCCAAGTAGCTGGAACTACAGGTGCGTGCTACCACACCCAGCTAATTTTTGATTTATTGTAGAGATGAGGTCTCCCTAAGTTGCCCGGGAGGGTCTCAAACCCGCAGGCTCAGGCAATCCACTCACCTCAGCCTCCCAAGGCATGGGATTACAGGCTGAGCCACCGAGCCTGACTTCTATCTTTCAAAATAAGAAAAGCACCAGGAGCAGTGACTTGCCCTCCCAGGACTTTGGGAGGTTGAGAAGGGAGGAACACTTGATCCCAGGAGTTCAAGACCAGGAGTTCAAGACCAGCCTGAGAAACATAGCAAGATTTCATCTCTACAAATAATAACAAAAAAATTAGCCAAGTGTAGTAGCAGGCACCTGTAGTCCCAGTTTCTTGGGAGGCTAATGCAAGAGGATTGCTTGAGCACAGGATTTGGAGGCTGAAGTGAGCCATAATCTTACCACTGCACTCCAGCCTGGGCAACAGAGTGAGGCTCTGACTCAATAAAGAGATTTTTAAAAAAGAAGGAAAAAAGAAAAGCATAAATATTTAAAGTATTTTGGAATTTAAAATTATTTCCAAAATATTTAAACCAGTTTAGTTTTTCAGACTGAACCAAGCAGGAATCTAACGTGGTAGGATACATGTTTATTTGATAGAGATTTCACCTGAACATGTGATTTAATAGGAAGAAGAAAAAAGTTTTAAAATGTCCCAAATTCTAGCTAGTATACTTGGATTTGGGTGAGTGTTGATGGGGATAAAGTTAATCTGAATTAATGATATAGCAAAATTATAGAATGGTTTTCAGGAAATGTAAATTTATTATATTCTAATACACTTAGAAAACTATTACAGAAATTAGAACACTAATTATATGACAGTTCTTAGAAATTGTGAAAGGAAAACTGGTAAAAAGGTACTAATCATTTATAATTTACATATTTTTTCAATTGAATCTAAGTGCTGAATTACATAGCTACAAGAAATTTATTCTCATCCTTCAAAATGAAACTAATGTAAGCCGGGCTCGGTGGCTCAGCCTGTAATCCTGCGCCTTTGGGAGGCTGAGGTGAGTGGATTACCTGAGCCCGTGGGTTCGAGCCTGGGCAGCAAGACCTCATCTCTACAATAAATAAAAAAATCAGCCGGGCGTGGTAGCGCATGCCTGTAATTCCAGCTACTTGGAAGGCTGAGGCGGAAGGATCGCTGGAGTCCAGCAGGTCGAGGCTGTGGTGGCGGGGAGCGGCCACTGCACTCCAGTCTGGGCGACAGAGTGAGACTCCAACTCAAAAAATAAAAAATAAAAAAAATATTAAACTAATGTGACTTCTCTGGTGAGTTTTCCAGATCCCCTTGGCATATTAAGTCATGGTCCATAATATTTGTATACTTGTCTGTGAAAATATCTTTCACATT